TGTGCACATTTTAATATCATATTTACTCAGGAATGGATAAATATTTGAAGTATTTTAAATGCTAAATATTTTTTTATTCATTTGAACTTCAACTGTCAGTTCGCATTTATTTTTCTACTTCTAATGAACAATGATAACTCCCTCTTCAACTGCCAAAAATCGTCATGTTTGCAGAAAATTTTTGCAAGTACTGAAAGCTTAAATCACTTGAGTACTGTTTTATTGGAAATTATACCAAACAGAACAAAAAGATAGAAAAACAGTAAAAAGCCTCAAAAGCCAAAATTATGCACAAAATTTCCAATTTCTCTACGCTAAACAAACTATAATTATATTGATGGATGGAACCGAAACTTGATAACAATCTGTGCTTTGAATTAATTGATTCATAATCAAATTGAATACGATCTAACAGCATACAGCACGTTAATTGCCAGCTTGCTGAGAATAGAAAGCAAACTAAAGACTTGCAAGAACTAAAAATGAAAATAATATAGTTTGCTGGCTCGATAAAAAGAAACAAATTTTTTTCATCGAATAAAGATATAATTAGTGTATTATAAAAGATATCTTATGCGTCAATCGACTATTTACCCATTCTTCTTTTGTATCTATCTTATCAAAATTCATTATTCATCCGATTTTTTAGCATGAAAGTTACATTACTAATCACTCAAAAAGTTTTTTGTTTCTGAAGAATTCTAATTGAGTAGAAATTACAAAAAATTGAACATAGTGTTAAGAATTTAAAGTGCTTATCATAACCAATTCCAATGCATGTTTCTTGCATAAATGCAATAATTTGAGGAAAAGATTGATTATCTCTATCATAAAAATTGCATTCTCTCTAAGATTTTAAAATGTTTGATGGATAAATTATTAAAATGTTTGTTAGAGAAAAGAATTTGTTGCATTTATATGCAAGTTAAATAGACTTGCTATAGTTAGCTATCCGGAGCAGCAAAGCTTACATTTCTCACAACAAATTTTTATTTCTTTTTCAATTTTACTTTTTTTGCAAACTTCCTTTGTTCAAAATCGAAATATTTCAGCAGCCTGTTCACATTATAAAGTAATTGCTGTTCGTTCTACCTGCAACAAATTTTCTGCCTACACTTAAAATTTATGACCATAATTAATCTTGGCATCAGAAATTATGTTCGAGCAATATTTTAAGACTTCTGACAGACTTTTTTTCATTCAGATAAATAATTTACTAAAATATTTAAAAGTTTATGATTGTTTGACCTCTTTAGCCGAAAAAGTTGATACTATCAAGTAAAAAATAAAGATATGACAAAATTGTATTAAGAAATAATTGATAGAGAAGTGATAGATCAGTTCACTTCAAAGGCAAAAGTATTTTGGTCTAAGAAAATTGCTTTTGATTTAATGAGGTCATATCAACAAACTGAACTTAAGGCTACTTTTTACTTCAGCCTCGCTTAGTTTGCAGGTTGAAAGTGAAAGGTGATAAGAAAATCTAATACTCTGAAGCTGATTGATGAGTGATTTTGTTTATAAATAGCAAAAACTTTTCAATATAATATTCACAGGAAAGTTTTCAAAAGTAATTTCAAAAATTTCTGCGCGTAAGTTTCTAATTTATTGCACCCAGCAAAAAAATTTTTTGTCTCTTCGAATATTTGCAAGTAATCATTATCAAAAATGGATTGCCGTTTGGAATAAGCATAATTTAACTTAATAAGTCGTAAGGCGTTAAAAAAATTATATGCGAAGTAAAAAAAATGTACAGAACGTTGCATGAAAATATGAATGGAAGAAGTACAATTGCTGTTAATTAAAGTTTATGATGTAAAGTGATCATTAGTTGTTCTGAAATGAGGTCAACTGCCAGCGTTTGTAAAGATATTAATCAAAGATCTGTAACTTTGTTCTAGAAAAGATTATACATTAAATTTCATTAAACTTAAGCGAAGTTATAAACTAGACTGAGTCATTTACTGATACTTTGCAAAAAAAGCAAGAACCGCTTTGAATGAGAAAACAAATCAGAATCAGTGAAAATGAAAAAGCTTTGAAGTTTACTAAGAGATGCCGAAAAATAACTCAATTCTCTTTTTGTCTGCTAAAACATAAGACATAGATCAGAAAGAGTATTATGTGATCGATCCTACAAGGTATCGATTGATCAGAGAGGATTCATATCAAATACTCAAACTGAATTATCTTTAATTCTCTATCAAAGTATCCATAAAAACTGGCGATTAATTATTTTTGTGATAATTAAGCTGCAAACAAAGTAAAGTGGATTGAAAATCAGCGTAAACAAGGAGTCTTATAGAAAATTGGAACAAACTAAAACAAGCACAGAATATTTATTCCAAGGCACAGCAAGTAAAAAACTATAAATCGAAGCGAAAGAAATTAAAAGGAAATTTTAACATTTGCTTTCACCTTTTGACTGATGACTTTTCGAGTGAAACAAGAAAAAAGATTAATCTATTTTTAACAACTTTGGTATATCTTAAGGGAAAGTATATGTGATGGCCTTAAAAACTAGGCCATTAAAGCCAACTGAAAAGTGAATTTATGACAAGATTAACAGTAATAGTATTAGTACTAAAAGCTTTTAGAAATAAACATTTGAAATAATCAAGAGACGATCATAATAATAAGTTAACTGACTATATTTTGCTGATTAACAACTGATTTCGACTTAATGACTTATCTCACTTATTTTTAGATGGAAAATCTAAGCTCAACTTTGTGAGAATGCATCTTTCATCACATTAGTTGTTGTTGAAATTTGTGATTGGCTCTATCCAAGTATATGTTTCATGCTATGAAGACATGGAATATTATTCAAAAAATAAGATGGAAAATCCTAAATCAAAATTAAAACTGGTTTTTATCAAAGTTCTTTGCCCACTTAAAATCTTAAACTATTTCAGTGCAATAAGAGTCTACCTGAGCAAGTAATCCTCCATCAATCTGATACACTTATTCTGAGTTTATACTTTTTTCACGAACAAACTAATCCAATTCGGTGGTATTGGAAGCGTAAACAAGTATTTAGTTAACAGTTTAGTACGCCGTACTTTCCTCACGTTCACATCTTTAGCACTAACTTGCACTACACAGGCGAAGTTCATTTCAAGAGATCAAAAATAAAAATTGTGAAAAATCATTCATATTTGACTAATTTGCACGCCAGTTCTGAATGACATTTGGCTCGCTTGTGTTTAGAAAATAGAATTGGAAGTCTTTTCACAAACTCTTTTTGTCTGTAAAACAGTTCGCAGAAAAAGATTAATAATTTGATTGAAATACAAAAACGTGTTCGTATTTGAAAGTATTCATATTTTTACTTATCAGAGTGCTGCATAAATATCCGGTCATTTCAAAGAAATTCTCTTTCTTACTGACCTCAAAAAATTGTTAGTAAAATCAGAATTGCAAGCATTTTTTCAAGTTGCGTCTGCACTTTTAATCGCAAGAGATTTGCAAAGGTCACTAAGAAAGTAAAAGACAAAAAGTGCTCCTTCGATTTTTTAAATTAATTTTTTATGTCTCGAAAGTAAAGTACAAATCATCAACAAGTGAGAACTAAAATTACTCTTAATTTAATGCAAAATAGTGAAGGGGCGAAAATGTCGAATGGCTGAGAATAAAGCATTGCTGTGCGAGCAAAGTTAATTTACAGTAGGCTAGAAAAGCTGCATAATTTGAATACAAATTTTTAAGAGCACTCAGAGATATTCGTGTCAATGTTTGAGCTATTCTATAGGTAATTAGTTGGGTAATCAGTTCGTTGCTTTAAGCCAGTCGAGTTCAGGGCATTAGTCATTCTCGAGCATCTGATTTATCCAACTTTATGACTTCCCTTTGGGAAATCGATTCTGATTTTGCATTTTGTAAAAGTAACTATTAAAAGAAAAGTGTTATTGAAGAAAATATTCTTCTCTCCACAAGATGTAAATATCCAACAAAAATAGCACAAGAAGTCATTTTCCCGTGGTGATTAGTTTAGTTGCGGTTGCGATGAACTTTAATTAGCTTAGTTTTACTTTTGTTAAGCGAACGAATCTTTCAACAAATAATTGTTATTTACTTACGACTCGTATATTGAATTTCCATTTCCTCGCATTTTATTCATTCTTCTTAGTTCTTTCTTTTAAATTAGTTCTAATTACACTTAAATGTTACAGAATTAAAAGTAATTCTTTGACAGAAATTAACAGAAGTATTCCTTTTTTCAGTTCAAAAATTTGTCCATTGAAAATGTGTTCAAATCTTTTTATGGAAGAAAATTTTTGAAAAGCTATTTGGAATAGTTTTTGGGAAAAGTCAACTCTGATTGATAATAAGAATTTAGCGTTTCTTTACTAAGAGATTAAATTAATCGATAATTTGTTTATATTCTACAGATTTTGTCAAACATTGTCAATTCTGTGCATTAATCTATTGAATAAGAGATGAGATATGCAAGTAAGTGACTACAAGAGTAAAGCTAAAATTCAGTAAAGAAATCCGAAGTGACGTAGTCAGAACACTGCAGCATTGCATTCACGTCACAGATGTTATTGTGAATTATTTTTGGCGTGAAATTCAATAATATCTCAAATTGTAGTCGTTGATTCAAAACATTTTTTCATATCTGCTCTATTTTCAGAAATTCATAAAATTTTTGAATTCTCTCACGTCACTTAATTAATTCAGAGGGAGAAAATTTGTACAGTGAAGGCTAGCCAATTGTCATATATTATCAGTGCTTATCAGAAATATGAAGCTATTAATCAGGTCCTCATAGATTAATTTACCGATTACTAGCCAAGATTTGATGATGAATGGGAAAATATTATAGTAATCTTGAAACCCCTACAAGAGCAAAAGAAATTGTTGAGGAATGTGAAAAAATGAAAACTTATTCATTCTTGAGAAATATGCAAAATTTAGTACTTTTGAGCACATCTCAACTAATGAAATGAATGTGCAGCTTAATTAATATGTTCATTTTACGAGTTGTGACGTGGTAACTAACCCAAATTCCGTCGTTTGAATGGTCGGAATGTGGAGAAGGGCTGTTTTCCATTTAGTGTTGGCAGGCTATCCGTGCGAAAGCACTCCATTGTCAGCTTACCTAAGGAACTCTGAGAATATGTTGGATAGCTTCTGATACCTATACGTGAACTTACTTCACGTGGATCTGCAAGTTTTCCAAATCGCAATTACAGATTAGATAGTCTCCATTGAATTCACAAGGTCAGATACAAAATTCAGTACTTTTATTTCAATCAAAATCTCGTTAAGAAACGCTGAATATTCATGAAAATAGTAGCATACTAGTTTTAAATTCTGAACGTCTTGTTGAATTTGACATTACGTCACCTTGCCAGTGCTTACAGAACGAAGCAAATCCATCGTCTAGACGGATACGCCGCAAATGCTTGCCTATTGGCTCAGCTACCTAGATACTTCACTTTATATTCATAACCATCGATATTTGATGGTAACAATTATTGAGTGATATTTAGAAATAATTATTTCAAATTTTAATTTACAGCTATGATTTCAAATATGATACTTGAAAGTCATACTTTACGACTGAAAAATAAATACTTGATACACTAAATTTTGAGAAAACACTATGCTGGAGGATTGCAATGAATTGAATCCTGAATTGAATTGAAATTGAATTTTAATTCAACTTGGGTTGAATTTAATTTTACATTATATAATAATATAATATAAAATTAGATTTGAAATTAGATATATAAATAATATAATATAAAATTAGATTCAACCCATTTATAGAGAAACCGCCTAACTAAAACGAATTCTACACAATTTTTGCATTTTATAAAAGAAAAGCTTTTGTTATTTGAATTTTACATGAATGCAAATTTATATTTGATAAATAAAAGATTGAAATTTAATTAAGCAGAGTTTGGTGCAAGCAAAGAACAAAGGAGATTATAGGACTTACTTGTTCGTCGTGATAGCAAATTATAGATTTTTCATCAGTCCTCGCAACGCAGTATCCGGGGTGCCACGGTGGCTCTGGAGGACGCGGTGTATACTGAGACATACGATTGAAATTATCCTCTGAAAGTGAATACAAAATCAGTAGACTAATCATTAGTCGTAGCAGATGAACCAACAAATCGATCAATTCTTAAGTCGTTTATATTCACAACTGATTTTTTCCCCAGAATTAAAAATTATAATCGCAATGAACGCACATGCACATCTCTACCTGATCATCACATTAACGAAAATTTCTGTATAATTTTCTGACGTCAAATTTGGTTTCTTCAAATTCAATGAGTCGTTCTAAAATTTGTATTTGCTGCGAACATTTTCAAAATATAATGTTCATTCTTTTTGCTTGCTTTGACCTAATTTTTGTAAAGAGAATTTCGGATGAAATGAAGAAATGACAATGAAATTTTGGGTGAATGTGACGGAATTACTTACTTAGAGATGAAATCAGGCTTCACAATGATAGGTTTATATTTTGAGATTCTGCGAGACTCCAGAGTGTGGGATTACACTCTTTAGTGACGTAAACTTCTGTGATAAAATCATAGACTAAAAGAAAATGAAACTCTTTGATAAATAATTAAATTAAAACTTGAAAATTTCAGTTTTCTTCTTATGTTTAATTTTGGTTCAAAGTTCAATCCCAAAGTAAACTGCACATTCTGTTTTCAAATTTTTTGTTCGAGTTTGAAATTTTTATTCAAACTCACCATTTGAATATAAAAATGAAACTTCAGAGTATTTAGCATTGCAAAACTTTTTTGCTGAAATTAATTTACTTAGTGAGGAGTGAAAGTGCAATTTTCTCATAAATAATAGCTGCGCAGAACATTTGAGTAAAGGAAAATAATAGATGCCACGCAGTTTGCGCTCATTCAAAGCTGAATACTAATTTTATTCACTCATAAATTGTCGCACTGCAAAAAGTATTAATGCAAAAATGATTTCGAATACACGCAGTATAATTGAAGTGCTATAAAAACTTTTGAAAATTACAAGTTAGTGTCTTAAGAAATGAGAGCACTATTATTGTATATTGCACTTAAGAACTTGATTAAAAAATTGACATATGCATTGGTGCTCAAAAATTCAGCTTATACGAAAGTTTCAGTCACATCTGACGTGAAACGCGCTTAAAGTGTCATTTTCAGTGAAAAGTTGAAATTTATCGCTTCAAATTGATATCGTCAAAATTACAAATTCTAATGACGTCCATCTAAATAATGAAATAATGCTAATCACACTACAATACTGAAAAATTAAAAAACAGCAACAAAAAATGGAGCGACAGTAACCGGAAAAGCTGTGTTCAAAACAGTGGCAATGATAATGGATAATTCAATTTAATATTAATGATATCAATGAGGATAATGTTGAACGTGGAAAAGAATGTGCTGGTTTGTGTGATATGGTTCAAACAGTGAAATTCAATTTTGGTTTGAATATCATAATTCTCGATTACCCTAACCTAATTTAGGCTGATAACTCAGTGATAAATACTAATAATGAAAAATGATTCAACGTATATACGTATACGCCTACAATATTGCATCAATTCAGACATATACAATATGCATTAGTGCATGCACAAACACCTAAAAACGTACACAAATTGTTGGTACGTGAACAAGTTTTAATAATAATATCTTGCCAAAGTCAGTAAAAGATTAAATAGCTTTTAGCAGCAATTTTCCAGTCAGCAACACAAACACAAATGAGAAGTAAAATTATCAGAAGCAAGTACATACTTTCTGAACTTTGGAGAAGATTCTAGCTGTTATTTTGAGGCTTTCTCTCCTTAATTAAGTGAAGATTATATCAGCAAGAAATTGAACTGATTTCTATTGCACAATTAAGTTTGCTATGCTTTAAGCTGCTGTCTGCTTCCAAATGAGAACTTAAAATGAAAAGTTGCAATGTTCATTTCACATCTATTTCTGATTGCCTTATTAATCCTAAAATTTAGACAAAATATTTGAAGCATTCAAAAAATGTAGCCTAGTTATCTATTAAAATAACAGGAACACTGCAAAATATACAGTTGTTTTCAAATGGTTCAAAATTAATCAGGAGATAATTTCGCTCCATTACAACGAATGATTCTGATTTTTGTACTCTCCCGAACTTCTCCTCAATAATGCATGTCATCATATTGAGGTTCCTTGAGATATGCTCAATACTAATCTTATTCACGTAATGCGCTGAAAAGTTTTATTTCCACGTTTGATGAAAAATCTTGTTCTTGTAAGATTAACTGCAACTATCATTTACATCTTAAGTTTAAAAAATCCCAAATTTGATATTCGTATTTATTGCTTGAAAATGACATCATTCATAACATGCGTTTTTAATGCCTTGGCAGTCTAAGTATTAGTTTGAATCGGTTTTATTTTAAAAAAGAAGGATAACTTAAGAAAATAAGACACTGATGATTTACAAATATTCAAAATACTGTGCTGGGAATGACTGTTACTAATTTTCTTGATTGGTCAGGGCAGTAATCAATATTGCTTCAATTAAAGTAATGCGTGTTCGGTATGGGTTTTATTCTCAACTACTGGAAGTAATTTATGATTACTTTGCATACTTCTTATTACAACGAATAATCTGATATGCCACAGATTTACTTTTTTCCAAACTAACTAAAACTATTCATTCATTTTTGCACCATTTATATCACAGCAATCAGTGCAGACGATAATTATGGAGGAATTTTCTAATAACTGCGATGAAAATAAAATTTTTCTGGGATAATATTTGGAGGATAGAAATAAGTATTATGGATAAAAGTACGTAAATAGAGAAGTAACCGCTTTTGGTTCGAGAGCACTTTTCCAAGTTCAAGAAAAATTGCACGTGTATTTTCTGAATACGGGTGGATAAGGATAATGAACGTAAAATTAAAGGCATCATTGTTTCCCACAGTTTCATGAAAAATATATGTAAAATGCTCCCAACCGAAAACCAATAACTAGAAATTATCAAAATGAGTCAGCAAATTTATTTTCTAGAAACGAGTACATTTGCCAGAAATTTTTAGCAGCCATAATTAAAGAATGATTCAATTAGCTAAGATCATGCAGGATTCTTAGCTTTCTTTTGTGTTTTGATGTAATTTTGATGATAACTAAACTTCAGAGGAACTTAAACTTCGCATTATTTAATCAAGCAAAAGCTTGTTTTGCATAATGTTATGTAAGAATCAGCAGTAAAGAATACATAGAGGCGCAAAATTGAAGCGAAAAAGGCAGTTTTCTACTTAGTTTTGATAACTTTTAAAAAACCGTGAATGCAACTAATTAATTTCATTACAAACTATTTTATTAATTGCGTTTTCAGAATGTCACCATGAATGGCATTGCCTTTCTTTAAGGCGAAACTTTCGGTATGTAATTGAAGTTTGCTCGAAGAGATAAGAAGACAGTTCTAAAATGAATGCAATTAAGGAACATTCAAAATAACTGCTAAAAATGGGCGCAAACTGTACATATTCACGCACATGCAGTCACTGAATACTTACAACAACTATGCATGCGCACAAACGTCAAGTCGAGCTACATAATCATCCAGGATGTACGCACAAAATGCAGGCGTACACGAACACAGTTAGATAAGGATATAGATAGGTAGATGCGTGGACGAACAGAAATAAGTGAGATTAATGTATTTATGGTAATTGAGGACCAATTCATAGCACTCAATTGAATGTGCGCAACTTTACCGCACTTTCAGCTCAAACAAGAATGAAAATTGGCGTACAATTGACAATTTTAGTTTTTTTCACTCTTTTTAAAGTTTGTTTGTCTGTGACTCCCATTTCCACTTGAAGATTATGAATACACGAAAATCAGTCAGCCTAAAAGGTTGCTTTTACTTGATGTATATCTATCTATCTATCTATCTATCTATCTATCTATTTATCTACCGGTGAGATGCGTAAATGGACTTTATCCGCAAATGCACCACAATTATGACTTTACCTCACAATTCATCTTTGCATTTATCGCCTACCGATGTTTCTTTTCTATGCGTGATTTTTTACATCGTTACAAATAGAGCTTACATCATTCAAAGATGCAGATTTATATTACTGTGGGTTGATTTTGAATAAAAAGTCATTTGTGTGTAGTTGATGCGTCGCTTCATAAGCTTATATCAATCTGGAAAGTGAATAAGTGAAAGTTGAAATTGAATATTGGTACTATGTATCTTCATTAGTTTATAATAGTAATCCAAAAATTTGTAATGAAATGCTTTTCTTGCCTTTCCAATGTGTAGAAAATTTGAATAGCTTTATATGTATGTTAAGGACTCAAATCTAGATTACTTGAGAGAGAAGTTGTTGTAAAAGAGCGGACGTGATGAATTAATTAGGAACTCACTTTAATGCACTCACACAGAAAAGCAGCAATACATACTTCTGCAAAAAATGACTGACTTTAATAACAACTTTTCTATTATTTTCAGCGTGTCAATTTAGGAGCAATGTGCTGCATTTTAATATCAAAAATGAAATAAAGCATAAAGCCCTAAGATTTTGATTTTCTCGGCTGCTTGTGCTAGAAAATATTTTCGTCTTATCAGTAAATGTCTAGTTTGGTATTGATTTGCAAAATTTTTTTAATTTAATAATTTTAATTTAGTGATTGCATTAGTTTTATACTAACGTTTCTCAAATATTAAATGTTTAAATTAATTAGACTCGAACAAAATTCGCAAGAATTACTTCATAAAGCGTCCTACAATCAACGTAAATGGCAATCAGAACTTAACTGAACTGTAATGCTCGATCCGTCTGAAATCATTCATCATTTCTGTCAAAAATGAAAAAATTGTTTGATGGGCTATGCAAAAAGCAAAAAAATAATTATCCTTCAGTACTTGTCTAGAATTTCGCTTGCTTTCTTTTGCTGTTATTGAAAATGAACAAAAATCAGCTTCTGAATACAGATTCTGAGTAATCAGCAACAAGCAAAGAACTTCATTGCCTTCATGAAAAAGAAATTGAATTTTTAAATGATACACAGCTTTCTATCTATAAATTAA